TGTGTGTGCAATATAAGGAAAATCAAAACAATGGAACCGAAAGCACGGCTTTGGTTAAGGTACGTCTCGATCTTCGTATTAATTGCGGCTACAGCATCTGCAGCATCTGCTGTTACTCACTACACAATTCCAGAGGAGATGGACGAAGGGACTGTGGTTGTGTCTGATTTAATTCCGTGAAGTCGTATTACTTAAGTGATAGTACTCATTTCAGCATCGAAATACAGACAGGAAGAGATGGATCAAAATTTGCCGATTTAATTTTGACAAAAGCTTTGGACCGTGAGGACCAAACAGTTCATAATCTGATACTCACTGCTGTGGATGGAGGAGTCCCCGCGCGCTCTGGCACTGCTAGCATTATTGTGCGCGTTTTGGATACGAATGACAACGCTCCTCAATTCGATAAAGACAGTTACAATATAAATCTAACAGAAAACGCGCCTATTGGAAGCCTTGTAGTGAAATTAAACGCCACTGATAAAGATGAAGGAACGAATTCCGATATATTTTACTCTTTTAGTCTGTATACGTCAGAATAAGTTCAGTATTTATTTAAAATAACGTAGTGCTCTGTTATATCATTTCGATTGTGTTCTCATATTTTTAGTTGACACATTTCCGCTCTGATGATTAAAATGAGTTACGAATGTTATTTTGAATGTATTTTATATATTTGTGGTAATTCTTCAAAACATACGCAACGGGTCGCTGTGCCCCAACAAAAACGACCATTTACATTTATTTATTTATTTATTTTGTAGTCGCCATGACAGTTCATGCTCACCAGCGAGTCTTTATAAAAGCGTGCGGGGATGCAAGTGCTTCTGCTGGCTTTCTGCATTGACTAACGCTGTGACACTTCTGTAGAACGCAGGTGGAAACTAAGTCAATATTTCAATCTGCTGAATGCCTTACTATATTGGTCACCATCGTGCTGAAGTGTCAGAAAACGAAGCCCAGCAAAGCGGCTCCTCCGTGCAGGAACAGTGTGATCAGCGAGAGGAACTCGACCATCGCGGATTCCACTCTGGTCTCCAACGATGCCTACTGGTACAGTTTATTTCTAGCAGAGACCAGGAAAGGAAAGCTGGTGGTCAGACAGCCTGTGCCAAAGGGAGCGAGATACATGGTTTCCAGTATACCGAGGAGCACAGGACTGACCGAGACCAGCGACTCAGCTGCATCTACACTACAGGTAGGCTTATATACTGTCAACAGCTGAATTAGTTCTTCAAAGAAGCCAAACAACAGTGTATACAGTTTGACTTTTCAGCCTTTAACCAAACACTTTGTAAGCCCAAACTATTCTCTCTGAGATGCTTATATTCATCTTCTGCCTTTCAAGTTATGCTAAAGTTCAATAGGGAGTGGTTTTCAGTTGTTCTTAGCACATCTTCTCTTGAACATTAAGAGTTTGTATATGTGCATTTTTTTCTCTTTCTCTTTCTTCTGGACTCAATCCAGTACTGTTCTTTTTATTTACAGTCAGTTACACTTCATTTTCTTTTCTTAAAAGTTCACATACACTTAAATATATATGCTTATATTTGTTCAGACAAAATGACAGAAGTGAACATTGCCTTCTTGAAAATGTTTATATGTGTTTTTGCTGTGCTTGTTCTAATTCTACAATTCTACAGCCCCATATATCTTACCTGTTGTACATATACTCTCAGCTTCCCTCTAGCTGAGCCAGCTGCCACAGTGAAAGAGACTGTCTGTGTGTGTGTGTGTATGAAATGTATATTCGTGCAAGCATGTTACTTCTCTCTCAGAACTGGTTGACCTACTTTTCTTACCTGCTGTTGCTGTTTCACTTGCAGTTCTGATGTTCATAAGCCCATGTTGTGATACATTTGT